GTGAGGGATGTTGGTGCTAATATTCCCACCATTAATTATGTTCCAGTAGTGCGAGACTTTTCGTATATGATTCCTGCAGACCTACCGGGCATGCCATCCTACAGGGACATTGATTTTGGTATTGACTTGGTGCCGGGCACTCAATCCATTTCTATTCCTCCGTATCGTATGGCACCAACAGAGTTGAAGGAATTGAAAGAGCAATTTTAGGAGCTTCTTGATAAGGGGTTCATTAGGCCTAGTGTGTCGCCTTAGGGTGCAACGGTTCTGTTTGTGTAGAAGAAGGATGGTACTATACGGATGTGCATTGATTATAAATAGTTGAAAAAAGTTACAATTAAGAACAAGTATCCTTTGCCGCGCATTGATGATTTATTTGACCAGCTTCAGAGAGCTAGATTGTTATCTAAGATTGATTTGAGGTCTCGGTATCACTAGTTGATGATTCGGGACTCTGATATTCTAAATATGGCATTCAGGACACGCTTATGGTCACTACGATGTCCTTGTGATGTCTTTTGGGCTGACCAATGCCCCAACCACATTCATGCATCTGATGAACAGTGTATTCTAGCCATATCTCGATTCATTTGTCATAGTATTTATTGATGATATCCTGGTGTACTCACGTAGCCAGGAGGAGTATGCGCAACATCTCAGGGTTGTACTACAGACGTTGGGGGAGAAGAAGTTTTATGCTAAATTCTCCAAGTGTGAGTTCTGTCTTGATTCTGTGGATTTCTTGGGGCACGTGGTGTCCAGTGAGGGTATCAAAGTAGATCCGAAAAAGATTGAGGTAGTTTAGAGTTGGACCAGACCGTCTTTAGCTATTGAGATTTGGAGTTTTCTTGGCTTGGCCAGATATTATCGCCACTTTGTGGAGGGTTTCTCGTCTATTTCTGCACCTTTGACTAGATTGACCCAGAAGGGTGTCTCGTTCAGGTGGTCTGATGAGTGTGAGGAGAGCTTTCAGAAGCTCAAGACTGCTTTGACCACAGCTCCAGTTCTAGTTTTACCTTCAGCATAAGGTTCATACACGGTGTATTGTGATGCTTCTCAGATTGATATTGGGTGTGTCTTGATTTATGAGGGTAGGGTGATTTCTTATGCTTCACGCCAGTTGAAGCCCTATGAGAATAACTACTATGTTCATGATTTAGAGTAGGTAGCCATTGTTCATGCATTAAAGATTTGGAGGAATTATCTCTACGGTGTGTCTTGTGAGGTATTTACAGATCATCGGAGTCTACAACACTTGTTCAAGCAAAAGGATCTAAATTTAAATTTGGGACATCGGAGATGGTTGGAGTTGTTAAAAGACTATGATATTACCATATCATATCATCCCGAGAAGGCCAATATGTTAGTCGATGCCTTGAGTAGAAAATCAGTGCGTATGGGTAGCCTTGCTTATATTCCTGTTGGTGAGAGACCGCTTGCATCAGATGTTCAGGCCTTGGCCAATCAGTTCATGAGGTTAGATATTTCGGAGCCTAGATGAGTTCTAGCTTGCATGGTTTCTCGGTCTTCTTTATATGATCGCATCACAGAGCGTTAGTATGATGACCCCCATTTGCTTGTCCTTAAGGACACGGTACAACACAGTGATACCAAGGAGGTTTCTATTGGAGATGATAGGGTGTTAGGGATGCAAGGTCGGATTGTTGCGCCCAATGTGGATGGCTTACATATCCGGGTGCCACAAAGATGTATCAGGACTTGAGGCAGCACTATTGGTGGAGAAGAATGAAGAAAGATATAGTGGAGTTTGTAGCTCGGTGCTTGAACTGTCAGTAGGTGAAGTACGAGCATCAGAGGCCGGGCGGTTTGCTTTAGAGGCTTGAGATTCATGAGTGGAAATGGGAGCGTATTACCATGGACTTCGTTGTTGGGTTCCCACGGACCTTGAAGAAATTCGATGCTATTTTGGTGATTGTGGACCGGTTGACTAAGTCCGCACATTTCATTCTGGTGGTGACTACCTATTCTTTAGAGCGGTTGGCCGAGATCTATATTTGTGAGATTGTGCGCCTTCACGGTATGCCGGTCTCCGTTATTTTTGATCGGGGCACGCAGTTCACATTGCAGTTTGGAGAGAAGTGCAGCGAGAGTTGGGCATACGGGTTGAGTTGAGCACATTATTCCACCCCCACATGGACGGACAATCTAAGCGCACCATTCAGATATTGGAGGTTAAGCTACGCGCTTGTGTTATGAATTTTAGGGGTTCTTGGGATCCGTTTCTACCGCTTGTAGAGTTTGCCTACAACAACATCTACCAATCGAGTATTCAGATGGCTCCTTATGAGGCCTTATATGGGAGGCGGTGTCGATCTCTAGTTGGGTGGTTTTAGCCGGGGGAGGCTAGGTTGTTTGACACGGATTTGGTTCAGGATGCCTTGGAAAAGGTCAAGTTGATTCAGGATCGCCTTCGCACGACAAAGACTAGACAAAAGATCTACCCTGATCGGAAGGTTCTTGATGTTGCCTATATGGTGGGAGAGGAGGTATTACTTAGAGTTTCACCCATGAAGGGTGTTATGAGGTTCGGGAAGAAGGGCAAGTTGAGCCCTCGGTATATTGTCCCATTTGAGGTGCTTGAGAGGATTGGAGAGGTGGCTTAGAAGCTTACATTGCCGCTTAGTTTATCGGGTGTTAACCCAGTGTTTCATGTTTTTGTACTTTGGATGTATTATGTTGATCCGTCTCATGTTTTGGACTTCATCACGGTTTAGTTAGATGGAGATTTGACGTATGATGTGGAGTCGGTGGCCATTTTGGATCGGCAGGTTCGAAAGTTGAGGTCATAGAGTATAACTTCAGTAAAAGTTCAGTGGAGAGGTCAGCCAGTCGAGGAGGCTACTTGGGACACCAAGTGGGAGATGCAGAGTAGCTACCCACACCTATTTGAGACACCAGGTATGATTCTAGACATGTTCGAAGGCGAATGTTTGTTTAAGAGGGAGGGGAAGAATGTAGAGACACGTCCGGTCGTTTTGAGTATCGTAGCCCCGTTCCCCCATTTATTGCTTATTCTATGATCAATTGTAGTTATGTGACTTGTTGGGGTGGTTGGTTTGGTTCCAGGGATGTTTTGGAATGAATTGGGAAAGTTAGTCCCAAGGTTAGAAACCTAAGTTGAAATAGTTGATTGGATGCTGACTTATGTGTAAACGACTCCGGAATGGAGTTTTGATGTTTTTGATAGCTTCGTATGGTGATTTCGGTCTTTAGTTTTTGTCCGTATATTTATTTGGAGGTCCACATGTCATTTTGGCTTGAATTGGCGAAAGTTGAAAAGTTGAGAAGTTTGACCGAGAGTTGACTTTGTTGATACTGGGCTCAGATTTTGGATCCCGGAGTTGGCATAGGTCCGATGTGTCATTTATGACTTGTGTGCAAAAAGTAAAGTCAATCGGAGTTGGTTTGGTGTGTTTCGGCATTGGTTTTAGAAGTTGGAAGTGCAATAGTTCATTAGGCATGAATTGGGATGCAATTCGTATTTTTGATGTGAATTGAAGCCTCGACTAAGTTCGCATGATATTTTAGGATGTGTTGGTATGTTTGGATGGAGTCCCGGGGCCCTCAGGTGTGATTCGGATTGAAATCGAATGAATTTTAGACTTATGGAAAACCTATTGGGTTCAGGTCTGTGTAACCGCACCTGTGTGGAATTGGCCGCAGGTGGAGAGCCACAGAAGCGGTCAGGAGAGCGCATATGAGGAATTGGGCAAGGCTTGGTATTAGCACGGGTGCGAGGAAAATTCCGCACCTACGAGTGCGGGCAGATGGTCGCAGATGCGGAGGTTGGCCTTGGAGGCTTTGTCGCAAAAGCGAACCAGCAGAAGCAGGGTGAGAGCCGCAAAAGCGGTTGGTCGGGACTATAGTGGGCTTCGCAGAAGCAATTTTTTCCCGCAAATGCGGCTATAGTGTCCGCAGGAGCGAGACGCCTGGACAGAAGGTTATAATCAAGGGTTTTGAGAATTCTCTCATTTTTGGACTTTGGAAGCTCGGCTTGTGGCAATTCTTGAGAGGGGTTTCACTATATTTCAAGAGGTAAGGAACTTTTGATCACTTTTGTCCGATAATATTGAATACCCATTGAATTCTACACCTAGATTATGTATTTTTAAGGTGAAATTTGGGGGATTTTGGACTAGGTATTGTAGAGTTAGATTTGGGGGATTATTATTATTATTACTATTATTATTTTTATTACTATTATTATTATTACTACTATTATTATTATTACTATTATTATTATTATTATTATTATTATTATTATTATTATTATTGTGAGCACGTAATTTTTTCCCTACGAAAATATTCCTACAAAATCCACAAATAAATAAATTATTTCTAATTGTTTTTCATGTTATAGAATTTTAGGAATTCCTTTTAATTGCTTGATTGCATTTAGTTACATTTTTGTGCATATTTAATATTTTAAAATCATGGAAAATACCATAAAATGTCCAAATCTTCATTTCATAGCATTTTAGATTTTTATTTGCATTTAGGATTTAATTACATTAATTAAATATATCTTTAAATGAAAATCACAAAAATACAATGGTCATTTTTATATTTTTAATTTTTTTGTTTTAAATTAATATTTCACTTTTATTAGTATTAAGTTAATTAATTATTATAAAATAGATAAGTATGTTTAATTTTGCAAATTAGATTTAAATTAGGATTTAATTTAGGATTTTAATTAATTTTCTTAGAATTTAAAATCAAAGACAAAGAAAAAAAAAGGAAATAAAGAAGGGAGTTAAAGAGCATGTTTGGTTTTACTTATATTTGGGCCAAAAAACAATTTCAGTGACCCAAATTTGACCACAATTTCGCCCAATCCAGCTGCCATACCGGGTCCAGTCTTCAAATGCCCAAAACGGCGTCGTTTATATAACGTTCAATCTCAACCGTTCGTTGATCAAAATCCAACGGACCATAACTCCTCATCCTTTTCCCTTTTAATTGTCGGAAGAGGCCCCCCCCATACCCCGAATTCATCTCACAGACCTCTCAAACCCTCTTCTCCTTACCCTAATCCTCTGCCGCTGCCGGAAATCGCCCACAGCGGCGGCACCACTCCAGTCAACCCCAAAATGTCATCCCATAACCCATGTCGTCTCGTTGTTCTTTTCCTACCATTAGTTTCGTCGAAAAACCTCCTATATTTGCTCGATTTTTAGATCTAAAAGGGACGAACCCTAATCCTTTCTTTTTTATTGATTGCTTCTGAATCCGGGTCGCGTGGCGACGAAATTTGTACCAATCGATTAATCTCATTGGGGACTATCAATTGGTATCAATCTCTAATCGACTAATGGTCACCGGAACTTGATTAAAACCTGGTCGACCGGCCAGAACTTTGGAGTTCCCATAACTGTGATTCTCTTGGCCGGTGTATGGCGGATTTCATCACATATAGCATTGGCTACGCGTGAGCTAGTGCTCGTGTTCAGCTATAAGCCGGACTTCTTTTTTCCGGCAGCATTGTCTTCTACTGGTAATCCTTTCTTCTCCTCTTCATTCCCTAGAATTGATGATTCGCTGTTTAATTGTTAATAATTAGTTAAATCATAATTTTGCTTGACATCATGCTAAAGTTAATAGTTAATCACTAGGAAATTGTTTTAACTTTCTGAGTAACTACTTGTTGAATTGAACCTGAAGTTGGTCAATTGATAATTACTTGTTGGTTTGAACTTAATCAACTTGTTTAATCAGTTGTTGAGTCATGTTTAGCTTATGTTTGTTTGGTTGCTGTTAATTCAGTTTAGTTAATTGCTATGTGTTAAACGTTTGGTTCTGAGATGAGAAAGAGGGCAGTAATTTTGGATAGTAAAATAATGAGTTAAAAGAAAAGGTTAAAAGAAGGGTGTTAACATGGACTTGAGGGAGTTAAAGGAAATAAGAAAATCAGGGAAGCTTCTAGATAGGGATTAAAATGTAATAGAACAACTGATATTAGGTCAGATTTTGGAGTAAAAAGAGTGAATTTTTAGAAGTTAAAAGAGTGGAAAATGAGAGAAAACTTCTAGAAAGGGACAGCTGTCCCAATTTGTTAAGAAAGATGCTGAAAATTAGGAAAATATCTGAGAATAAAAGGACAGCTGTCCATTTATTGTTAGAGAAGATGCTATTTTCCTAAATTTTAGGGAGAGCTGACAGATCCCTATATTCCCTCTGATTTCTCTCTCATAGCAGTACACTCTCACTATATAAACCCCTGGATATTCATTAAAGAAGGAGGAGAAAAAGGAAAATATCTGGGCATTTTGAGAGGTTTTATTTTTCAGTTTATAAACACTTTTTCTTTCCTCTGCATCTTAAAGGAGGAATCAACATCAACCTTCACTGATTTTCCTTCTAAAAGTATTCTGGAAAAAGAAAAATCAGTATTCAGTTTCATTGGGTTTGGTCCATTTCTGGATTTCTGGAGTAGGTTCAAAGCTGTTTTGTGTTGTTTTCTGCTGCTGCGTTTGCTTTTGCTTTTGTTTCTTCTTCAAAGTCAGAGACTTATTCTCTTTTTTGTCTACTTTGTTGTGAGCCAGGTATTACTCTTGATCAAATAATGTAAATTTCAGTTTGCTTGAAGTGTGAAGTTGTTTGTTTGCTCTCTCAAGTTTCAGTGTTGTGAATGTGTTTGATATTCATCAAGTTGTGTATTGTTTGATTATTGTTGGAATGTAGCCTCGAGTTATGAGCTAAATTATTGCATGTATCATGTTAAACAATGATTAAAATCTGTCTATTTGAAGTTTCCTGCGGATTTATATGAAATTAATTATCTACACGATTTGATCTTTAGCCATGAAGTTTATGTGTTGTTACCAGTTAGAATTAGGGGCTGTGATAGTCAACACCCGGTAAGATGGTTGTTCAAGTTGTAAAATTTTGTCAGTCAGTAGTAACTGTTGGTTTCGCATACCTGCTAGAGAGCCTCTCTGAAAAGTACTGTTAGCACGCGAGGTGGTGGTGACTGCACACATAGCTCTAATTCAGGTTTCAATTGCTAACTGATTCGGCTAAACCAATAGATATTAAAGCAAAAAAGAAAGACGCACCAGAAATGTTTTGTGTACTCCAGTGCGGTGGCGTGTTGATTTGATGCCAAAAACTCTTATCTAGTCCAATTATCATTGTTACTCTATTTCCGGATCCATGTAGTCATTCATGAATTGTAATTAGAGTAATTGAAACTATGATTCGAAACTTGTAATTCTTTGATGCTACAAATTGGCACTGTATTTTTAAGATTCGTATAATTGTGTATTCATCTTTTAAAGCGCACTCTTGTTATCCCTTATCTGGCGTGGCGTGTGTCAATTTTTGTTGAAATATGTTTGGCAAGTTGAAGAAATCCCGTCTCCAGTTGGCTATTGGAGTTTTCCATTTACTGGGGCTCAATTTCGACCCCATTTTCGTGTGCTGATGCTTTTAAGAGGGGTTGTTAGCACATCTGGGCTTCACCCCAAAATACATATGCAATTTACTTGGCTCATTAGAGGTCATGTGTCAATGTCTAATACAATTGAGCCCATAATGCTATCCTAGTTATTAGCCCACGTTTGAGTAATGAATTAGGCAGAAATCAGGTAATCAATTTCATCCAGTCATCACTAGTGATTTAACGTGAATTCGTCCGTGACTTGAAACTATAGATTGTGTTCATCAATTCAATCACGCCGTAGTTTAATCAATAGCTAAATCCAATTAATTACGAACAATTTTTCACTGGAGGCTCAAACTTTCACTTTGCACCTGAGTTTTGTCCGCAACGTAATAACTCTGAGACCTTCTCCAATAATCTCGAATTTAGGACTAAAAATGTATAAACACTCGTAGGATGCTTTAGGCGCGTTCTAATATATTCTTGTAGATTATGTACACGTTCGCGTGATTTAATTATGATTCCAACATTAAATCAAAGTACGCGTTTGCGCGATTTTGGCCGAACAATTTTAATAATTAATAAAGCGTGATTAATTGTGTACACACGCGTGATATGATTTTAGCGCTCCAAATAAAGCAGATTTACACACATGTAATCTGTTTCGAAGATTAAATCCATAAACGCCATAATTAAAAGTGGTAAAAAAGGTAAACGTACATAAGTTCTAAAATACGCAATTAAACAATCAATTAAGCAGGTATGATTAAAGCGACCGTGCTAAAACTATGAAATTTGGGAGTGCCTCACACCTTCTCCCGAGTTAACAAAATTCCTTACCCGGTCTTCTGTGTTTCGCAGACTTAAAACAGAGTCAAATTTCCTCGATTTGGGATTTAAAATAAACCGGTGACTAGGGACAACATAATAATTATTCCAAGTGGCGACTCTGAATCAAATAAATTATCTCATTTTGAATAATGTCACTTCAATTGGAAAAACTCCCTATCCCGCAGAAAAAGGAGGTGTGACAATTATCATCATCATCATATTATTATTACTACTACTACTACTACTACTATTGGCTTATTTATTATTGTGGATCGGGTTGCATGCCACAGCAGGCCTTATAGGCTTTATATTCGCGCTTGGGCAGGATTCGCCTCTCTGGAGTCTGACATACTAGCAATGAGCGCAGACACAGTGATTTATATACCCATGCTTTGATGAGGGGCATTGATGCTAGGCACCCGTACAGTGCTGAGTGATTGTGTGTGATGAGTGGGAGTTTGAGATAGACAGATTGAGTACTCTGAGAGTGTGAGTACCTGGGATTATCACTGTGATGCATTACATTTGATATGTATATTTGACATGTAGGCATAGAGATGTAACATTCCTCATGCTAGCTGTATTTGACATAGTTTATCAGTGTTGGGCTTAAATTGTTGAATTTGAAAGCATGCCTAAATTTTTGTACTGTGAACGAGCTGAATATGGAAATTTACACTTTTGAGTTTATTAAATCATGTTTTAATTCAAATGCGTAGTTGTTATGTGATTGTCGGCTTTCCTAGTTATGTGTTAGGTACCGTCACGACAGGTTGGGATTTCGGGTCATGACAATTTATGAGATATCAATAAGTATATCTATGGTATTCATGATATTGAGAGGTAGTTAAATGTGAGTATTTGTGAAGCCCTTGTTGGGTATTTATGATTGATAGTTGAGAAAGATAATGAATAGTAATTTGAGGTATTAAATGAAAGTGTTACTAATGACCTAAATATACTATCAAATACTATTAATAAAATTGTTAAGCATGAAAAATATATTTAATAGGAAATATGGACCCCAAGTACCCGTAGTCAAGATTTAAGACCTAAATGAGATTTGTTGGGTATTATTGAATGACTCTTGGTGTTATATATAATTTTGTAGATTATTATTGGTTAAGGATCTTAGACACTCGTGGTGAAGTTTTAGGAGTGTATTGAGGAATGTTAAAACCTATTCCTTCATGAATTTTTTTTCTCCAAATTATATATCGTAAAATGGTTTAGAACTTGAATGCTAATTGTGAATCCTAACTTGTAGGGACAAGCGAATTAGGATTGCACCATTCCTTGCATTATAAATATTCAAGTGCTATTATCATGACTTTTGATTGAAAATATAAAGTGTAACGGTTTTGAAATATCTTTACATGTTGGAGTGCTTGTTGCGACCCAAATTCACGTGACTGCATCCGATACACTATTTGATTTGAGTGAACCAAATCATATGATGCACCCAACCATATGCACAAAAAAGCAATCTAACTGCAGAACCATTTTTTTGAAAATCATATATATTTTTTTATTTAAATCATGAAACATTTTGTAAGCATAGATGCTGCCTTTCATAATAATAGTAAAATAAAATAGAATAAATATCTTTTTATGTATATCATTGTCACGACCCAAATTTTCACCAACAGTAGTAATGCCACCTAACCTCCAAGACTAGGTAAGCCAGCATGTAACATAGTTTAAAACAAACAAAGAGAGATATGATATAACCAAATTTTTCCTAGTTCTGATTCTTTTGTGCTTTACAACTATATTATGTCTTATCGGATTGGTTGGTTCGGGTCCAGAGTGGTTTTGGAGAGAATTGAGACACTTAGTCTCTTAATTGGAAGCTTAAGTTGGAAAAATCGATCGGACGTCGACTTGTGGGAAAACGACCTTGGATTTAAATTTTTATGGTTCCGTTAGCTCTGTTAGATGATTTTGGACTTAGAAGCGCGTCCGGAATGTGATTTGGAGGTCCGTAGTAAAATTTGGCTTGAATTGGCGAAAGTTGAAATTTTAGCAATTTTGGCCGGCAGTGAAAATTTTGATATCGGGGTCGGATTAGATATCTGGAAGTTGGAATAGGTTCGTGGTGTCATTTTTGACTTGTGTGTAAAATTTGAGGTTAATCGAATGTGGTTTGGTAGGTTTCGGCGTTGTTTGTGGAATTTGAATATTTAGAAGTTCTTTAGGCTTGAATCCAGGTGTAATTGGTGTTTTGATGTTGTCTTGAGTGATTCAAAGGTTCGACTAAGTTTTTATGGGGTTATATGACTTGTTGGTATGATTGGTTGAGGCCCCAGAGGCCTCAGGGTGATTTCGGGTGGTTAACGGCTTGATGGTAGTTGAGGATGCAGCTGAAGCTGCTACTACTAGTGTAACCACACCGGCGGAGTGGGAAACGCAGGTGCGAGCCCGCAGAAGTGAAGGAGGAGCTGCAGATGTGGCTAAGGAGGATCTGGGTAGAGGACACAGGTGTGATGGCATTCGCGCACCTGCGATGGTCGCAGAAGCGGATTTAGGACAGCAGGTGCGAGTTTGGACCGCATGTACGATGTAGTTCCCGCACTCGCGAAGAGCGCAGATGCGGTCACTTGATCGCAGGAGCAGAGGCAGAGTTTAGGGTTTTTTCCGCAGAAGCGGTGCTTTTCCCGCAAATGCGGAAATGGAGCCGCAGGTGCGAGAAGTCTGGGCAGAACCTATAAATAGAACACTTATAGATTTTTTTACCATTTTCATGATTTTTAGCTCGGATTTTGGGGATTTTGAGAGAGATTTTGGAGTAATCACTGAGGTAAGTTCCTTGTGCTTATTTATCTTCAATAATGGTATTTTCCCCACTGAGTTTACACCTAGTTACTGAGTGTTTGAGGTGAGATTTGGGAGATTAGGGCTTGGGAATTGGAGAGTGAATTTTGGGGTTTTGGAGGGGCAATTGAGGTCGGATTTTGATAAATTTGGTATGGTTAGACTCGTGAGTCAATGGGCTTTCGGGTTTTCTGACTTTTGTCGGGTTTCGAGATGTGGGCTCGGGGGCCCGGGTTGAGCCGATTTCGGAATTTGGACTATATTTTAGTAGTTTTCTTGTGGAATTGATCCTTTTAGCCAATATTGATTATCTCTTACTGTTTATGGCTAGATTCGGGGCATTTGGAGGCCGATTCGAGAGGCAAAGGCATTTCAGAGTAGGATTTCTGCGCGGTTGAGGTAAGTAATAGTCTTAAATCTAGTTTTAAGGGTATGAAACCCCGAGAATTTGTATGATGTGAATATTTGGAGGTGACGCACATGCTAGGTGAAGGGCGTGTGAGCATGCAGCGTGAGGGATTGTGACTTGGTCCGTCCTGTGAGACTGTAAAGTCGAATAACCATTGTTATTACTTGTTTTTCCTTGTCTTTGAGCAATTGACTACCTTTCTTGTTATAAACCATGCTTAGACCATATGATATCACTGTGGGACCTGCAGCGGTCGAATACTTGTTGAATTGACTGCTAATTGTTGTCTTGTACTCAGTCACAGTCTTACCTGTGTGTTATATCTCCGTTCCCTCTCATTTCTTATTGGTACTTGTTGTATTCTCTGTTTGGGCTAATTATTATGATATTCTATGAGCTCGAGGGGCTGGAGAGGTTAGTGACTGAGATAGGGCCTGAGTGCCGAGCTGCGAGCTGTGAGGT